TGTTTGTGTGTCTGCACCCATTTGGACAGATTCCCACAGGAGAAGCCAGAAGAAGAAGGCTGCCAGCTCATTCTACAGTGGGTACGGAAAGTATTCAGACCCCTTTAAATTTTTCACTCTTTGTTTCATTGCAGCCATTTTCCAAAAATCAAAAAAGTTCATTTTATTTCTCAGTAATGTACACTCAGCACCCCATCTTGACAGAAAAAAACAGAAATGTAGAAATTTTTGCAAATTTATTAAAAAAGAAAAACTGAAATATCACATGGTCATAAGTATTCAGACCCTTTGCTCAGTATTTAGTAGAAGCACCCTTTTGATCTAATACAGCCATGAGTCGTTTTGGGAAAGATGCAACAAGTTTTTCACATCTGGATTTGGGTATCCTCTGCCATTCCTCCTTGCAGATCCTCTCCAGTTCTGTCAGGTTGGATGGTAAACGTTGGTGGACAGCCATTTTCAGGTCTCTCCAGAGATGCTCAATTGGGTTTAAGTCAGGGCTCTGGCTGGGCCATTCAAGAACAGCCACGGAGTTGTTGTGAAGCCACTCCTTCGTTATTTTAGCGATTAGCCAGGATATCCCTGTACTTGGCCGCATTCATCTTTCCCTCGATTGCAACCAGTCGTCCTGTCCCTGCAGCTGAAAAACACCCCCACAGCATGATGCTGCCACCACCATGCTTCACTGTTGAGACTGTATTGGACAGGTGATGAGCAGTGCCTGGTTTTCTCCACACATACCGCTTAGAATTAAGGCTAAAAAGTTCTATCTTGGTCTCATCAGACCAGAGGATCTTATTTATCACCATCTTGGAGTCCTTCAGGTGTTTTTTAGCAAACTCCATGCGGGCTTTCATGTGTCTTGCACTGAGGAGAGGCTTCCGTCGGGCCGCTCTGCCATAAAGCCCCGACTGGTGGATTGCTGCAGTGATGGTCGACTTACTACAACTTTCTCCCATCTCCCGACTGCATCTCTGGAGCTCAGCCACAGTGACCTTTGGGTTCTTCTTTACCTCTCTCACCAAGGCTCTTCTCCCCCGATAGCTCAGTTTAGCCGGACGGCCAGCTCTAGGAAGGGTTCTGGTCGTCCCAAACGTCTTCCATTTGAGGATTATGGAGGCCACTGTGCTCTTAGGAACCTTAAGTGCAGCAGAAATTTTTTTGTAACCTTGGCCAGATCTGTGCCTTGCCACAATTCTGTCTCTGAGCTCTTCAGGCAGTTCCTTTGACCTCATGATTCTCATTTGCTCTGACATGCACTGTGAGCTGTAAGGTCTTATATAGACAGGTGTGTGGCTTTCCTAATCAAGTCCAATCAGTATAATCAAACACAGCTGGACTCAAATGAAGGTGTAGAACCATCTCAAGGATGATCAGAAGAAATAGACAGCACCTGAGTTAAATATGAGTGTCACGGCAAAGGGTCTGAATACTTATGACCATGTGATATTTCAGTTTTTCTTTTTTAATAAATTTGCAAAAATTTCTACATTTCTGTTTTTTTCTGTCAAGATGGGGTGCTGAGTGTACATTACTGAGAAATAAAATGAACTTTTTTGATTTTTGGAAAATGGCTGCAATGAAACAAAGAGTGAAAAATTTAAAGGGGTCTGAATACTTTCCGTACCCACTGTATGTTGTTGAATCTTATTGTTTAACCCTTTCAAAACATGGTCCAGAAGGTTGCTCATGTGTGTCCCAAGGGACCACGTGGGCAGAAGGGGGGAGGTTGAATAAGGACTGAATTAACTGAACTAACAGATTACAGTGACTTAATGCTTTTAACCGTTCTTTTTAAAGAGGTGGTATTATGCTTGTTTTCAGGTTCAAAATCTTAATTAGGGGTTGTACCAGAACAGGTTTACATGGTTTAATTTTCAAAAAACACCATATTTTTCTCATACTGCACATTGCTGCAGCTCCTCTTTTCACCCTATGTGTTGTACGCTCCACTCTTGAGCTACAGAGTGATGCATCTTACTTGACATCTTCCCAGGTAAGGACTACTAGCCAATAAATTCTTCAAAGACAACGGTTGGTTGTAACTCAATTCTTTGCTCAACCACTCATGAGGAATATAATTTCCATGACAAATTTCCTATGGTGCTCGCTGAAACCTCTTTGTGGGGCGCCAAAAATTTCTCTATGCTGGAAAAACCCGGACATTCTGAGAGGCTGTCATATCGTGCTTCCCATGTGGGTCACTTGTAAATTGGATCAATCAGCAGCCAAAAACATGAATGGACAGAAATGCAACAAACTACAAAACTATGTGATTATTTATAGGCCTATGATAGGCCCCTTGTCTTCGTAGGCATTGGGGCTTAAGCTCCAGTAAACCCGTGCATTAAAGCGGGCTTGTGTGTGGCTGTGACAATAGCCAGTTACTGTCTGTGCCGCTGTGTGCATGACGTGAAACACCCATAGACTGTATATAAAAACGGACGTAGCATCCGTAACGTCACCCCTAGCGTTCTGAAGAGCAGTTTTGAAGCCCGAATTGGGTGGAGCTGGTCGTCGCCATCTTGGCACTGCATCACTGCGCGTCACTCCCGGATATCCATAAATGGGCAAAGAGGCGGGTCATGGGTGGAGCTGAGGTGACGTGTTGCTGAAACCACTCCCACCTAGCTCAACATGAATGAGTTAGCTCACGCTAAGGAGCTAATGCTATATGCTACTTTGCATTAGCAGAGGTAGCTTCTGCACACCCGGTGCTGTATGGTGGAGGTTGGAACCTGTGGCCGTGTTATTACCAGTTTACAGTCATTACCAGCTAGTCAAGGTAAGACACCGGAAAATATTAAAATAACTCACATATCTGTTGACATTATACTTCACAAGGTTTTAAATGCTTTTTAATATATAAATGTGGTAACGTTAACGTTATTTTGCAACACTAACTAACTAACTATGAATCAGTTATTAATTACGTTAACGTTTACTTACACCTCAAATGAACAATTTGAAGCAAATCAGTTAACCCTTTTACATAACGTACAAACATACGAGTCGTTTATTTAGACGTCACCTCTGTATATTACTTGTAATAAATATAATAAGCTAGCAGTGTCATCATGTAACTAACTATCCTTAGTTATATGATGGAAGCTATAGATCTTGTAAAACGTTAGCCATGGCTGCTATCACATTAATTAATTCCCCACACCGCTATTTTGAGTAACTTTGCTGCTGTTGGCAGGGCTATGTAAGATTATTGCCTGGAATAGGACACTTGAGAGAGAAAGGTACTTTTTATAGAAGATTTTAGCTGAGGATCTGATGCCTCCACGCCTGCTACTCAAAGCTTAAACTGTAACGTTACTAGGACAACTTGGCTACTGGACATTTGACAGCTGATATAAAATTGTCTTAAGAGGACAACACAAAAACATGTAAAGACTTAAGATCATCGATCTTAAGTATCGAATCATCAATCGTCACAGAGTTTTAACGTCATTTCTGGGCCTACATGGATCCCTCCATGGAGGCTTTGGTTGGCGTCACTGTCTGATCTCTGTTTTACCCCCTTGGGAAAAGCAGGCAGTGGACACTGTGAGGCCAGAGAGGAGGGACTCAAAATGTTTCTAAAATTAAAACACACTTTTATTGCCCCATTTACGTTTATATTGTTTTACTACTTACACAATTATTAAAAGATTTATAGCAGGGGACAACCTTCAGATGGAGAGGGTCCAGAATCAATAAAACATTTAGCAGTTACCTTTGCTGCGTCTGATTGGCTGCTGTAGGTGACGTGATATTTTGACATCACTGTATGTGATGTCATCTGTGATGTCATCATCTCCAGCTTCTACTTCAGCAGCTGAATGAACCAAAAGGAGCAGAAATTTAAATCAAGAAAGATCATGTGATTCGATCAAAAGCTCCACAGCTCACTAAATGGACCCTGTGGTGAGATTGTTTTATTAACAACAGCAATGTGATTTATGAGAATCCAGATGGACGTCTGACTGAAAGAAACAGTTTGTAACTTGTTATTATTTGTACATCCAGAAGTGTTAATAGAAATGTGTCAACAGTAAAATGTGACTTTAACTGTGAACTGCAGCACATGGAGTCTGTGACCAACCTTTAGGTTTCATATGGAGGCATCGTCTCACCAGCAGAACCAGAAGAACCAGAAGAACCAGAAGAACCAGAACACAGAAAGTCAGAACAGCAGACAACAACACAGAGAGAGGAGGAGAGGAGGAACCAGCAGGAAGGGTGGTTGAAGGAGGACTTGTAGTGGTGGGTTTCACTGAAATGAACAAGAAATTATAATAAAAGGCACAGAAAATAAAACTCTCACAGATTTCACTCTTGTTTCTTTGCAGATTGCAAAGTTAGAAATGTTGTCTCATCATGAATCATCTCTGCTGTCCTGAAACCTGCTGAACTCAATGTAGAAAACAAAACAAGGTCAGTTTGAGAATTATCTTTGAGCTCCTCACCTGTGACAGAGATCCAGCTGGATGGAGACTCTCCACGACCGCTGATGTTACACTTGTAGAGGCCTTCATCAGACTTGTTAACATGGTGGATGGTCATGTGACCTGTAGGCTCAGTCCTGATGAGGGAGCCATCTTTATAGAAACCAGCTGTGAGGTTGGAGGGAGGGGTCTCTGTTTTACAGTGCAGAGTGACATCATGTCCCTCCATCACAGGGAGGACAGGACTCTGCAGGATCACTGGTCCACCTCAACACAGAGACAAACTACAGCATTTCATCATTTACACACAGCTTCATCAACACTAACTCCACAGTCTGATCTTACCAGTGACAGTGATGTTGATGGTGTTACTGGTTGCTCCCTCTCTGGACTCACACCAGTAAACTCCACTGTCCAATGGGGCGATGTAGCTGATGTTACAGGAAGAACCAGCTGATGTTCCCCAGCCAGCTCCACACTGAGTCCTGGATCCTCTGGTTGTGTTCCTCCTCAGCGTCCATCCAGCAGAGCTGTCGTCCTCCTCACAGCTCAGAGAGACAGACTCTCCTTCAAACAGCTGAGAGCTGCTGGGACTCACAGTCAGAGAGGCTGGAGGGGATACGTTACATTTTTAGTGAAATGACCAAATGTCTCACAGTAAAATCTTGACACTTTGTTGGGAACGACAGGATATGCTAAACTAATCAGCACCATGTGGTTGCTGACACACTGGGCAACAGTATTTTTTTTTTTTTTTTTTTTTTTTTTTTTCTTAAACCTGTCCTGCCCAGCAGCCTGGTATAGAGTATAATGACCTGGATACCATATTGTGCCAGACAGATTTTACTTTAACAAGAGAGTATTAAAATACTCCTTTGTCTGTTTTATTATTTATTTAATTATGTATTGATTTGTCACCGGGCCGGACAGGGGGGCAGACACGGGGATGGGGGGGGCACAAACAGACAGCACAGAGAAAGGACAACACCTGCAAGAGAAGGGGGAAAGGGGGATGGAGGGTGGGGACAACAGGGAAAAGCTGTGGGAAACACCAATTGCAGAAAGCAACGAAACCTGCAAGAGAACAGAGAGGGGGGCTTGGGGAGGAGAAAAACAACAACAAACAAACACAAACAAAAAAAACAATAAAAATAATAATAATAGTAAAAGAAAACCAGCCGAACAGCAGCAATAAACAGCTGACATATTAATGACATATTAAGACAACTAAGAGAACAATGAAAACAAGAAACAGTCACACACACTAAATAAGCAACACAACACAGCCACGAGAGCTGGAATAATAATTAATTTAAATAAGTAACTGAAAGAAAGGCATCAGGAATAATTCTACCAGGGACAACCTAAGTTTGTTTGTGTCTGTGTGGGTGAATGTGTCTGTATGTGTGTGTATGTACATGTGTGTGCGCATAAGCCTGTTAAAGAATGTAGTTGTTAGAGAGAGTGGGACGCCACGACTGTAACAGGCAGGCAAGAACCCCAGTAGCCAATAGGGGTGGAAGAAAGAAAAAGAATAAATCAAATCAAAAAAAAACAAAGACTCCCAGATGCACCGCGATGCAAACGCAGAAGACCCTGACCCAAATGCCAGTTGACAACATAATGCCGACGGAACGCAAAAGAGGAAGAGCAGCGCCCGGACCGACCGCGGCGCAGACACAACATAGACCAGTGGCCTCCCCCATCCAGCACCCCACCGCCGCGCAGCAAACAACCACAATGCCCAAATGCCACGCAATCATCAACACCAATGCACAAGTGACGAGCCCAACGCGCACACTGCGCGAGCACAGCGACACCCATGCCCAGCAGCCCCCCGCGAATCCCGCGTGCGAGGTCGGGCAAATGAGAGAGAGCAAACGGAACAACACGACAGCGAAAGCCAGCGGAGAGAGACACCAGCAGCAAGTCCCAGCCCGGCAGCAAACGCGCCGCACAGGTCACCGTGCACCCGCCAATAAAAGTCCACCGTCCCCCCAACCGCCGGAAAAAACTAAGGCCGCCGGCGCCAGCCGACATCCCCCATGCCCAGCGCGCCCCCGGCCGCCATGCAACACCAGCCAAACCAGCAACGAGGCAAAATCAACTAGCTCAGCTGCATGCCACCAACAACCCATCCATCCATCAAGGGCCGAGAACTCCAGGCACAAACCCAGAACAAACCGGAGCACAGCCCTGCCCCGCACCCACACTGCACATCCCGAAAACTAACTATAAACCTCAGTATCCAGAGGGGTCCAACAACTGGCCGACAGAGAAATGGGCAAGCACGGATCCGAGGCCAACGAAGCAAAACAGGAACGCAAACAGGTCCCTCCAAGCCAACGAGGAGATGCCTCCCCCGGACTCCAACGCACAAACTAAACGCCCAGCAGCCATCCAGAGACCCTGCCCAGGGAAAAAGTATAATGCATCAAGATGCATCGACAATCGCCCCACAATCCCACCGCAGACCCCCACCCCCAGAAGCCAGGACACCCTGCGACCCCCCAAAGCGCAAAGGACCCCAGACCGCATGTCCAGGGAGAAGCTGTACCCCGCCCCAAGGAAGAACAGCAGAAAGCCGTGCCGGGAATGTTGATTAAACCATTGTTTGTATCCTCTTTGTATTGTGAAGAAAACTGACACCTCTTTGTTTAGTGTTTTGTTTGGACTGTTTCATTGACACTTAAGATAGGGTGTCAACCATTTCGTAGACAAGTCCTGTTGTTCTCTATGATTAGTTTAGATTGAAGTGGGGTTTCACGTCCGGGATTGGCGCTCTTTTGTTTGACCAAAAGCAACATAGAACAGTAAGGTACACACTTCCTAATTGGGTGACGAAGAAGTTTTTTTTTTTTTTTTTCAGTATTTTTTAACAGCACAGTTGGCTTGAAGTAATTAGCTCAGGGAAAAGGACCAGTCTTATATTGTCATTAATTATTTCCAACCAGCCCAGAAATACAAATAGTTTTTTAACCATTTGTTAATTATTAAAAACAACAATAATGGAAATAAAATATATTTATCATTTATTTCATTTATATTGTTGGACAGAATTAAGGGAGGAATTGATGATGACTGACTGAAGATTCAAATTTTGCACCTGCTGCATTATGAAGATTCACTATATTTTCTGGATGTGATATTTATTTGTTAAATTGAGTTATTTATGTCATGTACTTTTAAATTTAAGGTGCCCTTCCAGTCAAGAAAGTGGAATGCAGACATATAGGGCTGCCCTACATGCTGGAAAATAAGTTGTCTTTAAGTGAAATCTAAAAGGTTAAATACTTCCTATAAGAGCAGAAAATTGTTTTATTATTTACTTATAATCCTTTACACAAGTACTTACAGGAGTGCTATTTTCTCCTTTTATTCTGTTTATATATTGTTTTAAATCTTTAACCTGTTCCCTTTTTATTATTGTTTTGTTATTTCAGTCTGTCCACATGTGTGGGGTTTAGGTCAGGGATGTGGGGTTGTTGATTGTTTTCCTCGCTAGCTGCTCTTCTCCTTCCTTGACTGGGACCAGTCAAAGATCTTTTGTTCTCCAAAACATAGAAACCCAGACTGTGTAAATGATCATGCAGCCCTTTGCTCAGGGCCAGATGTTAGTGACGTAGTACTTCTCTGTTTATTCTCTTTTGTTAAATAAATTCTTCAAAGACAACAGTTCATTATAACTCAATTATTTGCTCAACCTCTCACCAGGAATATAATTTCCACCACAGTTCCCTGCATGTTTTTATCACAGGTGTAATAGTTAATAGTCTTTGACCTGTTTGACCATAAATGCATCACAGCTTGGTGCTCTTTTCTCAGACAGCCTGAGACTGCCTGCGAGAGACTTCTGGGAGACTGCGGCTTTGGTGATTAAGTGGCACCGCCACCGTATGGCACTGCGCTGGTGCCTTGACAGCCGGATGCCCCTGCCGTGGCCTATAAGTACAGGTGGTAATGCACCTGTGTCAGTCTCTTTCTTACCTGGACTGGGCATTTTGGCTGTTGGTGACAGTGATCCGGCGTTGTGGTGTGCTGTTGCGAATGCTGTTACATCTGTTATGGCCTGCAGCGCAACAGTTTAGCCGGTGGTTAATACCCCTAAACCTGCAGCGTCGGTGCACGCGACGTTGCTCTCGGTCCGTGTGAGCGAATCGTTGCTGTTGTTGTTTTCAATCTGGCCTTTGGCCTTTGGCTGGTTATGTGTGTGCGTTGTGGAACCGTGGAGGTGATCTGCTGCACTGCTGCCTCGGCGGGGGTTTGAACAGCGGCTTGGTCTGTCTCTCTCGTGCCTCGACTTTGGGTGTCGCTCTCTCTCCCCCTGTGGGATTGCCCTCTGCCTGGTCGGCCCAGTTCCGGCTGTGTCTTTGCTCTAAGCGGGCTGCCGGTTTATACGTTTTGATTCATTTTGGTGTGTTTTGCTTTATCCTTTTAGCCACTGTGTATTTTAAATGGTATATTGTATATTAAATTAGGCCCATACTTTCAATTTTATTCAGTAATGGCATGCCTTCTTAACTAAATGTAAATGCTCCGTACAGTCTTTTCGACCACTCAAAGCGCTTTTACACTACATCTGCATTCACCAGTCACACACATTCCGTTTGAGCCTAAGTGCTCAAACGGAAACTAACATTCACACTCATTCATACACTGGCGGAATAGCCGCCAGGGGCAATTCGGGGTTCAGTATCTTGCCCAAGGACACTTCGACACGCAACCGGGGGGAGCCAGGATTGAACCGCCGATCTACCACCTGAGCCACAGCCGCCCCACAGTATATAGCTAGTATATGTAGTTGGTGTGGTTTCTTTCTTTTTGCTAAGTTACTTTTGGTTTGTTTTTTTTTAATTAGTATTTTGTTAAAATTATTTGTTTAAATGTGAAACACTCTCTACCCTGGCCTTATTTCATACGAACCTGTGTGACCTATCAATATTTCCTAGGGCGAAATTCCCTAGGTGGCGTTGTTAACTTATTTAAGTTAGTATTACGCATTTAAATAGAATCACACCCTCGTCTTGCTACATTCACACGCTTGGGAAAAACCGTGGCTATTGTACACAAAACGGCGATTTTGCGTGTGTATGATACACTGCAGTTTGCAATAGCGTTGCAACACAAAGGAGCCAGTCGACATGCATATATTCACTGACTTAGGTTTAGGCACTAACTTCTGTGACGGGGGGGCGTCATAACCAAGCTGTACAATAGCCATGGTTTTCTCAAAGTGTATATACGAAGCATCAGAACAGGCTGGTTTTTAGAGACTGTTGTCTTGTTAGTTTTACTTAAGTCTGTTTCTGAATAGTGTAAATGTTCATTTAGTTAGTAAATGTTAAAACATTCTCAGTATGTGTTAGTGTCTTTTTGTGTTCAATCTCTTTAAAGAAAAAACATTTTATATGACCAGAAAGCATTATGCAAACAGCTTTTGAGTGTCTTTTGAGTTCACTCACCTCCGCTGGTCCTGTAGCTCAGCAGAGAGATCAGCACTGAAGAGAAACCAGAGATTTAACATAAAACCAGACAGATAACTGAAAAACTTACTGCTCCAATAATACTGCAAAATCTTCCAGCCCTAAATGAATGCACCATGTGGATGTTAAATGGTTCAGATTGAATAAAGAAAGATAAAAAAAACTACTTTTCCTGTAGTGATCAGTCTAACGGGTGAATAATAACAGTTTACAGTTATTTAAGTATAATTAGATTGTACTTACAGAGCAGAAAAGACGTCCGTCCCATTGCACCACTTGGTGTTATGAAATCAACAGTCCAGTTAAACTCTCCTCCTTCCTCTTTGTGGGGTAGTGACTGTGTGGGTTTCTCTCCTTCATTTAAGAAATGGGTCTTTTTTCTTCATGCGCACAACAGATGATCAGGAGACAGGGGCCCCTACACAAAGTGTTTACATGCAGGAAGTGACAGCGTTGCAGGATTAACATGAAGTTGGTTGATTTAAGAGGTCTGAGATCACTATGAGACAGATTCATTAGAAACAAGGCTGTAAAGTTCCTCAGTGGAATTTCTCTCCACTCTGTAAATATCTGTGTGATGAAGATTTCACTTTTTAAGATCTCCAAAAATATTTTGTAAAACCAAACCTTCCTTGGTTTCTCTCTTACTTATGATGTTGTTGCAGTGACACAGATGTCCTGCAGGAGTCAGTGCCTCGACCGGTTGGGGGGTGAAGGGGAGAGAGAGAGAGAGAGAGAGAGAGAGGGCAGGAGAGGAACAGAGAGAAAAAGAGAGGGATGGAAGGAGAGAGAGGGGAGGGAGGCAGCCTACACACTATACACACAGGTACAGACAGTAAAGGTGATGTTGCTATAGACTAAATGAAAAATGGTACAGATATTTATAGTAGTGTTAATGATAATAACAATAGGATGTGAGAAATACATTATAAGTTGCTGATTTTTAGGATTTCACTGTAATTAACTTGTGAGAAATGAGCATTGGTCACATGGTTTTTATTCCTAAGCAAAAGGTTGTCTGATTTACAATAAACATCTGCTGGCATGTAGGTGAGAGTTTTAACATAGACCAATCAAGAGACAGAGAAACATCTGATGCCACATACATTTGCATTTCCTTTTCTTAGCTCAGGAAGAGTTTTTGAGTGTATGCTAATACTCTGCCATTTGTTTATCCTTCATCTACCATTTGCTGGCTGTTGTTTGCTTTGTACTTGTTCTGTACTTAAGAGAGACCATAAGAGGAAATGCTGAGTTCGGGAGAGTAACCGTGCATTCTCTCCATGGCCACGTTACATAAAGAAATGATTCAACACATCTATTTGACTCCGTATTCTTTGGGAAGGAATTATTTTCCCTGACAAGGACTAGTAACAATAGTTGTAGCAGAGGGTGTCGAGCAGGAACACAGGGGCAGCAGGTGACTCGCAGCCACAGATCCAGACTCCACAGCTCTAGAGCCAGTGTAGTATCCAATACTTATGCATTTGACTCATAATAGTTCAAAATAGCACCGTATCCAACGAAGGTTAAAGTCAAGGGCAACTGGACTTGGTTGAAGATACTGATACTTTTCCAGTATCTTCAACCAAGTCCAGTTGCCCTTCACTTTATGATAGCACTGTAGCAGCAAGACAGAGGGTCAGTGGCCTTCTACGGGGAGAGCAGTGATTGGTGGTTATGTAGGGAGTGAACCCTTCTATAGAATTTGACCTATAACCCCTTGTTTTGTTATCCTCAAGATAGTACTGTACCCTTCTATGGGTTTGACCTTTTACTTTGCAGACTCAAACCCTCCTATGGTACCTAACAGATACCTAAACATGTCCTATATAAGCTATGTTTCATGTACAGAGAGACAGAGTGGCCATCGGGCTGGGTCATTCTCCAAGCTGCTGCAGAGCTTGAAATTGATGCTGAACTCTGATTTAATAAAATTTTTATGATCAAGAACAGTGTCAAGCAGATTTCTTCTCAACACATCATCGCAGCATTATTGTTCAGACACCACACAAGAAATGCCTGCAGGAAGTGATAGGAGGAGAGAGGAGAGTTACGAGAAAGCACAAGACTACCGGAAAGGGGAGAAGTTGTGTTAGTAACATGCAATAATGGGATGAGGTTGCATACAGAGGGAGAGAAAGTAGAGGAGAGAGGAGCTCAGTGCATCATAAGATGTCCTCCGGCAGTCTAGGCCTATAGCAGCATAACTAAGGGATGGTTCAGGACTACCTGAGCCAGCCCTAACTATAAGCTTTATCAAAGAGGAAAGTCTTAAGCCTACCCTTAAATGTGGAGATGGTGTCTGCCTCCTGAACCCAAACTGGAACCTGGTTCCACAGGAGAGGAGCTTGATAGCTGAACGCTCTGGCTCCTAGTCTACTTTTGGAGACTCTAGGAACCACAAGTAACCCTGCATTCTGGGAGCGCAGTGCTCTGGTGGGGTAGTAAGGTACTATGAGCTCTTTAAGATAAGATGGTGCCTGACCATTAAGAGCTTTGTAGGTAAGAAGATTGATTTTAAATTCTATTCTGGATTTTACTGGAAGCCAATGCAAAGAAGCTAAAACAGGAGAAATATGATCTCTTTTCCTGGTTCCTGTCAGAACACGTGCTGCAGCATTCTGGATCAGCTGAAGAGTCTTAATGGACTTTTTCGAGCAGCCTGATAATAAGGAATTGCAGTAATCCAGCCTAGAAGAAACAAATGCATGGACTAGTTTTTCTGCATAATTTTTAGACAAGATGTTCCTGATTTTTGCAATATTACGTAGGTGAAAAAAGGCGGTCCTTGAAATTTGCTTAATGTGAGACATAAACAAACGTCCTGATAAAAAATAACTCCAAGATTCCTCACAGTGGTGCTGGAGGCCAGGGCGATGACATCAAGGGAAACTATATCTTTAGATAATGCGTCACGGAGGTGCTTAGGCCCCAGAACAATAACTTCAGTTTTATCCGAGTTTAACATTAGAAAATTACAGGTCATCCAGGTTTTAACATCCTGAAGGCACATTTGAAGTTTAGCTAACTGATGAGTTTCATCTGACTTGATGGATAGATATAACTGAGTATCATCTGCATAACAATGAAAGCTTATGGAATATTTCCTGATAATATTGCCTAAAGGAAGCATATATAAAGTGAAGAGGATTGGTCCGAGGACAGATATGAAATGGAAGAGAAATGGAAGGTTAGATATAGGTCTATAGTTGGCTAAAACATCCGGATCAAGTTTGGGCTTTTTCAGAAGAGGTTTAATTACAGCTACTTTAAAGTACTGTGGTACATAGCCTGTTGATAAAGATAGATTGATCATATCTAGTATAGAGGTGCTGACTAAGGGTAAAACATCTTTAAGCAGCCTAGTCGGGATGGGGTCTAAGAGGCAGGTTGATGGTTTAGATGAAGAAATTATTGAAGTTAGTTGGTAAAGACTGAGGGAAGCAAAACAGTCTAAACATATATCTGGTTCTACAGCTGTTTCTAAGGTTCCTGAGTTTAGAGATAAGTCGGTGCCAGTTGAGGGCAGGTCTTGGTGAATTTTGTTTCTAATAGTTTGAATTTTATCATTAAAGAAGTTCATGAAGTCGTAACTACTGAGAGCTATGGGAATACTTGGCTCAATAGAGCTGTGACTCTCTGTCAGCCTGGCTACAGTGCTGAAAAGAAACCTGGGGCTGTTCCTATTTTCCTCTATTAATGACGAGTAGTACGCTGCTCTGGCATTACGGAGGGCCTTCCTAGAAGTTTTAAGACTATCTTGCCAAATTAAACGAGAATTTTCCACTTTGGTGGAACGCCAATTCCTCTCAAGTTTCCGCGATATTTGCTTTAATTTGTGAGTTTCAGTATTATACCATGGAGCTAACCATCTTTGTTTTAGTATTTTCTTTTTTAGAGTGGCTACAGAGTCGAGTGTCATTCGCAGCGAGCCTGCAGCACTATCAACAAGATGATCGATTTGGGAGGGACTGAAATTAGCATAGGAGTCCTCCGTTACTTTGTGACTTGATAATGAATTTAGAGCTGATGGAATAACATCCTTAAATTTAGCTACAGCACTATCAGACAGACATCTTGTATAGAAATTTTTGCCCAATGGCGTGTAGTTCAGCAATACAAACACTATAAGTTATCACACAGTAACAGTGGTCAAAGAGGGATTCTGTGGGAACACTACATGTTCAATTTCAATACCATACACCAAAACAAGGTCGAGGATGTGGTTAAAACAGTGAGTCGGTTCATGAACACTCTGAGAGAAGCCAATGGAATCTAACAGAGAGATAAACGCAGTACTAAAGCTGTCATTCTCAACATCCACATGAATATTAAAATCCCCTACAATAATAACTTTGTCCGTTTTAATGACTAAAGTTGACAAAAACTCAGATAAGAATGCAGAGTACGGACCAGGTACTCGGTACACTATAACAAAGAGAATTGGTTGCAGTGATTTCCAACTTGGGTGCAAAAGACCAAGAACAAGGCTTTCAAATGAGTTATAGTTTGGTTTAGGTTTAGAGCTGATTAGTAGGGTAGAGTCGAAGATAGCTGCAACTCCACCTCCTCGGCCTGTGCCTCGAGGAAGGTGAGTATTAATATGACTGGGAGGGGTGGATTCATTTAGGCTAACATATTCTCCATCATCCAGCCAGGTTTCAGTAAGAAAAAATAAATCAATATCATAATCTGATATTATTTCATTTACTAGTACACCTTTAGAAGAGAGAGATCTGAATGTTTAAGAGTCCACATTTAATTTTCCTATTCGTTTTGCACTATTGCTCTTGTGGTTTTAATTTTTATGATGCTTTAATGCACAGGTTCTCTTCTGTTTACCTGTTTTCATAAAAAATTTCATAATAGAAATAGAAGGTTAGAGAAGTGTGTGACTCTGCAGAGAGAAATATACTTGACATTCCATCAAACTCATTTTTGACAGCTACTTCCGGTCCCGCCCCCACACCGGATGTCTGTATGTAACTGATAAGAGGGTTGCGTACATCCTTCCATTGTGTGTTTTTGACTGATAATTGGAGGAGGTTTTTCATTGATTTAAAGACTTTATTAAGTAATAAAACTTGAATGAATTAACTAGTAGGTGTTTATGGGAATAAATTTATCATTAAAAAAGTATAGCAGTGCGTTATAAGTAAAGGAGGAATCTCCGGGGCCAGCAAAGGATCAGTAGGAGAGATTTGGAATCAAGTCAGTCTTTATTATTAAACAAGTGAAGAAGAAATTGAAATAATGACAGTAAAGCAGTAAAATGGTATAACGGTGAGTAAAAATTAAACAGCATTATAAATTACCTTCAACAGCATGCAGCAAAATAAGAGTGAGCTCCAAAATTAAACTTTGTAAAATCTTTGCTAAAGCTTTGTGTGACAAACTTACCATCATTAAAGAACTAAAGAATAAATTGAAATAATTAC